ATACTCCTATGATGCTGCTTGGCCTGCTGTGTTCATCCAGCTCTACACCTTGTTACCCTGGTACAATATTTCGTGGTCTTTAACCCTGCTTCATCTAAAGAGGATAGTTGCTCTTGACGGTCTGTTCAATGCAATTTAGCGTTTTTAATATCCACCCCATCCCTTCTCCTTTATGGATAACAAAGTAGGATTTGCCTGATGTGGAATTGTTCATCAAAATCTAATACTGAATGATCTCACAAAACAACACGTGAAGTTTCCGAACATTTGGGGAAAACAGCTAGGCACTATACAAACTTAAATGTTCCCTTCTTAAAATGTTGACCACAATAACATCCCGATATTATATAACACAATATCTGAACGTGTATATTTCTGATTTCCCTCTAAGTACGGACGAATGATTCCAGATATCTAGAGCACCGGCGGCTTCAAGTGTCATGCCTAGAAGTAATTCACTAAGTTAAAACAAAAATGTGGCTCTTATTGCCGCCACTTAATCACGAGTTACATTGATGATTCCCTCTAAGGCTTCTCGATCCCATTTTGAAAAATTTAGCGTAGCTTCAGTCCCGGATTACTAATGCAAATTACAGCCAGTGGCCATAAGAAAACAAGCAGAAATTAAGTTAATTACAATAGTATTCTTATTAATCCAATTCATATTGACAAGGGTGGTGCTTTATATAATGATTAATCGAGTGGTTGTATTCATTGTACCGTTGTAAAAATTGCATTCTCGGCGACACTGATGAGCTACCAGGAGAGTACTTTCCGTCCAAAACAAGTTCATTCATCAATATAGCCAAAGGTCAAGTTATTGAGTTCCCGGTTCATACCAATTGAAGTTCCCGTCATTATATAATATAAATTTCCATGAATCCCAGGATAAGAAGTATTACGACCTCACGAACTTATTCCATAATATGGGTTAGAGAGAGCAAGGAATTAATTAGCAAGCAACATTATTTAATACGAGGTTTATACACTGTAGAGGCAAACTGTAGCGTCACAGCTCTACACCATTTCACTATCCTCAAAAATATTCCTACTCAGACTCACTCCCCCATATCCCCATCCACTCACTCGCATCCTCACTCAGACTCACTCACAACCCGACTCAGAGTCACGCACATCTCCACTCGGACTCACTGAGTCACAATCCCACTCACACAACCCCACTCACAGACTCACTCACTCACAACCCCATTCACAGACTCATTCACTCAAATACCAACTCTCAGACTCACTCATATCCCCACTCTCAGACTCACTCACATCTCCACTCAGCCTCATTCACATCCCACTCACGCGCGATATGTTAATTATGCATTCATTTCTTAGAAGCGAAGCAACACAATAAATGCAATAACTGTCCCCTAGTTCGACCACGTTTGACCTCCCGGTGCTTTAGTGGCCACTTTTTATACTGTTTGATTTCGATATCAAAGCTTCAGTGAGAAAGTGCCGCACAGTCCGTGGTGTCTGTCTTTGATGAAATGTTAAAGTGAGGTCCCATAGGCATGAGGTGTGGTGTGGAGACAGAGACCCAGAGATCCGACGGCACGAAATGTAAAAGAGCAGGGCACTCACCATCAACATCAATAAAATATCCGTGGAACCAACGGATTACTATCCAAATATTCTACTGTAAACAAGTGACCTGGAATAAAACCCTGGGTTCGGGGAGCTTGCATACAGCTCTACCCCATGTGCTTTTTGTCAAATTGGCTGCACATATGATGAGGAAAGAAAATTTGAACGTTTGACAAGGAAAGGAAACACTGAACTGTTCATACCATACTCGGATCTCAGTAACGCGGATTTTACGAGAGAACTACACAACCATGTGTGATATTACTTATTGAAATTATATTAAACGATGTTATTGGACATCAATGAACTTCTGATAAACTCATAATGAGGTGTCCACAAATATTTGTTACAGTTCAAATTTAATTAGTGATAGATATCCAGAAAACAAACCAAAGAAAATCGAGCAGATCAAAATGACTCTCCAGCTACTCCGCGCGGGGTTGTGTAAATGTCTGAAAGTGTATATTTGTTGTTTCTGAAGTTTTATTTATTTCAAATATTTGCGGGGCTGGTCACAGCGGGATAGTTCTATCCTCTGCCTCACCCACGCGCGCGTTCGCAGCGTATTTCGGCAGGTTATAGCGTAATACCCCGGGCAGTAGCTGTCCTGGGAACATACCTCATCATCCACTTTCCTCCCTCAATTCCTCTTCCTCACACATGCACCAAGAGTCGGCCCATTGGGACAGACCGGTTAGAGGGAGCGGGTGGAGTTGGGGATGGGGTAGAGGGATGGCGCCGGGGCAGGTATGAACTTAGCCCTTACTTTTATATATATATTTTTAAAAAAGTCTTGATAATAGTTACAATATTTCCCGCCAGCAAGCAGGATGCAACGAATGAAAACAAAACGCCGCTCACACCGTTCAATATGTTTGTCATTTATAGTGAGGAGGGTCACTGGACCCAAAACGTTAACTCTGGTTTCTCTCCACAAATGCTGCCAGACCTGCTGAGCTTTTCCAGCAATTTTTGGTTTTTGTCGCGACTTACACTTACCGCTTTCGATCGTTCCGGATAGACCTGCAAACGTAAAAAAAATCAACTTGAATTTTAAACCTATTTTCTTTGTATTTTGACCCGCTTGTATTTTATTTTAATTTGCCTTCCTAGTTTATTTAGATTTCAATATCTCCCATCGAGAAATAGGAATGGAGTGTATAAAATGACGCCAATAACCGCAGACACAGCCTGAGAGGGAGGCGGCGCAAAGGTGAAACTTTTTGGGCGCCACAATTGGAATGGAAACAATGAAGAATAAGACGTTCGAGGCTGTTTAAAGTGGTGGTGTTTGTCGTGCTATGTGCAGTTGTTGCTATCCTGCTGTGCCTTCCCCCACGCCAATAAAATTGTTAAACTCCCCTCCCCACCACTATCAGCTCCAAACCCCAGACTCAAGATCGTTTCTAAAAACCGAAAGAACTGCGGATGCTATAAATCGGGAACAAAAACAGAAGTTGCTGGAAAAGCTCAGCAGGTCTGGCAACATCTGTAAAGAGAAATCAGAGTTAACGTTTCGGATCCGGTAAGTTTAACTCTGATTTTTTTTCTTCACAGATGCTGCCAGACCTGCTGAGCTTTTCCAGCAACTTCTATTTTTGTTCAAGGTTGTTTCTGATGGGAAGTTAGTCGAAGATTTTAGCTCACGTTCCTCCTTTGCCGGAAGCTGAGGGGCCGTCACCTTTTGTCCGCTTTTCTTCTCACTCGTCTGGCAATCGCTTCCTCGATTGTTACATCCAACGGTAATATCACAGTGCGAGAAAAAAATGATGCTTCTAACAGCAGCGCGCCGTATCGCAGTAAAACACCAGAACAGAGACAAGTTGACGGGTAGTGAACGAGTTGAGTCGATAGCGGAATAGGTATCGTTTCCCCAATACACTCCCTCCGCCCCCTCCCTCAAGCTTATCTGAATGATAAAGAAATATGTGATATTATTTAGGTAATCCCCACTCTCAAACCGATAGTCACTTCGGCCTGAGTGAGCCTGATTTTTTTTTACATGCGTTGATGGGAAATTCTGGTCATTATCCCGTAAGTATGCAAAAAATAACCTAACAAACACAGTCTTCCCCCGCCCCCCCCCAAAAAAACTTTAAATTCAAAACAAGCACATTATGTATTTTTTTTATTTAATTTTAAAATCTCGACAGTTACTCGATCACACTTTTTTTGTCTTTGAACGGAATAATAAATATTATTTAGCACATTTCCTTACAAAAATAAACAGATGGAAAGCATTTTTTGCTTTATATTTTTTTTCTTCATTTTTTTTTCTCGCGAATGAGAAACAAGAGACTTTCGGTAAGACGTTACAGGTGGCTGATCAGATGAAAAACGAAATAACACGCTGGGTAAGGAGTTGTGAACCGCAGGACAGGAGTTAAACTGAGTTGAAGTGAGCTGAACAGCTACCGACACTGAGGGGTTGCAGTGAAAAAAAAGATCCACAGTAAACGTTTCAGTGAAGTCAGCCAAACCAACGAAACACAAACAAATATATTCACAAAGCCCTGGGGACGGCAAAGTACTTTATAACGGTAGTATCACACTCCAATTACCTTTGTTTCATCAAGGTGAGCGGCTATTTTTACAAGTAAGGAATACAAAATTTGTCTTTCTAGATTCAGGGCTGAAGTATTCCAAGAACATTTTTCCCCCAACCGATTCAATGCTGTACAGATTACTGCACCGAGCAAAAACAAGTCCCAAAGTCTTTACATTAAGTCCCACACACGGCTCCTTAAAGTTGGTCAGACCAGAGGACTGTTCTTTGTAAACATATCGCCTCTTTCCTCTTTCTGGTTCGCGGTCGTTTCACAGAAGTCAAAATGAATAGCAAAGTCTTTCCTACGTCGGCATTTCACGTAATGTCCCACTAGCACTGGCCGGAGCGCAATGCTGCGGTTAAAATATTGCCTATTCCGGGGAGCCATGATCGGGATTTTGCCGGCGGCTCAGTGTACAGTCAAATTCACCTGCTAGCAAGATGCAGTATCCCCTTTCCCCCGTGTCTCCGTCTGTTGCGATGATACATCCAGTTGACCCCCTCCCCCCCAAAAAAAGAGGGGAAGGGAAGACCGTGTTAACATTTCTTGATCCGTTTGCGATTTAAATAAGCGAGAGGCGAAGGGGGTGAGGGTTCGGTAACAAAAAAAAGGTTACTGCAACTTTCACATAGATACATAAGGATACTAGATAATAAAAAGGGACAAGTTCATCACAAAGATGGGGAATTAGAGCAGTCACGTTGCTTCATTCTCACCTTGGCTGAGTGACTGGGAGCGGTCGGAGGAGTCCAGTTCCTACGCTTCCTCTGCTTCACTTGGTGTCTGAGGGTAACCGGGCCATGCCAGCGCTGGACACATGAGGAGGCGGCGGTACCTGGCACATTGTGCACGGGCACGGCATGCCAGCCCACTGCTGGAAACCCGAGGCGGCAGCGCCCGCCGTCTTCAGGAGGCTGCCCGGGGCCCGGACGGCGGCGGCGGGTGAGAGGCTAGCACCGGCTAGAGGGGCCGAGGTGACGGCGGGGACCATAGCCGGGTGTGGGAGAGGGTGAGGGCCGTGGGAAGGCGGTAGGGCCGGGCCGGCTTGGCAAGCCGGGGATGGATGGAAGTTGCTGTGGTGTCCGCCGTAGATCTCGCCCAGCAGCCGCTTCATTTCCTCCAGAGAGCTGGTCAGCATCAGGATGTAGTTCCTGGCCAGCAGCAGCGTGGCGATTTTGGACAGTTTCCGCACCGAGGGGCCGTGGGCGTAAGGCATGACTTCCCTGAGGCCGTCCATGGCGATGTTCAGGTCGTGCATCCTCTTGCGCTCCCGGCTGTTGATCTTCAGCCGGAGCTGCTGCAGCTCGGACTCGCTCATCTGCTTCTTGTCCTTCGCCCGAAGCGGCTCCCTGGGCCGACCCTGGCCCCCTCGGCCGCACTCGCTCTGCGTGGACGAGACCGTGCCAGAGAATCCCGAGGTCGGCTCGTCCGACAGGAACAGATCCGGGGACGACGGCTGGCTCGATATCAGACTGGCATCAGAATCCATTCGTCAGCTCTGGAGCCGGGGACGAGAGGGGGAGGCGGGTGTCTGGGGGGTGTGGGTACTACCAGATCAAGAAGTTCAAACTTGCTTGTGGGCAGCTCATACATACAACAGGGTGTCTGTGTGCGTGTGTTGAGTGTGTGGGCTCCTACTCCCTACTTCTCAGGTAAAATGTTATCAGGCTTTAGTGTGGCCCGCCTTTTTGGGGCTCTCTCCACCCCCCCTCCCCTCGTATTTTATAGGGCGGACCATCGGCGATTGGGAGAATCTCTTGCATTGTTTCTGGCACCGGGATGTCCAATCGTCACAAGGTAACCAAGTACTGAATGGGGGTCTCCTCCAATACCGGGAGATGTGGGAGGTGCCGCTGGCTTGACACCAAAACAGTAGAAGTGTGTATGTGTGTGAGGGAGGGAGAGAGAGAGAAAAAAGTACAATAGGCAGAGTCAGCGGCTGGGACATCTGCTAAACCAACAACTGGAACGAAGTGCACGCTTTCCCAAAATATTCCCATTTCCATCAGCACGGGCTCCACACTCTTTGCCACTAAACCGTGCATTAAATTGCAAAGAGAATTATTTCATATTCTCTATCTCTCTCTCTCACACACAGAGACTACTCCTCAGGAACAACTAGATAGAAACCTATAACACGCTGGAAACCAGGAGCAATATTAAACAGAGGGAATCCTATTAAAACAATTCCCCTCTCTCCCTCGAACCATTCCCCTCCCCACACAAACCATACCAACATGTCTATTTTTGCATATCAATCAAACACTTAAAACTCATTTCACGCAGTCTGGGTCTGGTGTTAGAAAAGAAGACCCTTCTTAGACGTCTGTATCATCTGAATTGTATGAATCCAAACGATCTCTGACTGGCAGTTTTTAAAAAAAATGTGCTCTAGCCCCGATTAACATGTGTTATCTTTCAGTCTTTCCAGTCTCTCGAGTGAGGGTAACACCTGGCCAGTGAAGACACTGTACACCCCGAAATATTTCAATTTTGAGAAATGGGGGATAGGTCCGCGCGGAGTGCAGGCTGCGTTTCTGTTTTAGTGCAATCAGTTACAGGCGATCATTGGTTGGTTTCAAGAGTTTTCAGTCATGGGATTTTTTTGTATAATGAGAATACGGTTTTTGTTTAAAGAAGAAAGTAGTTTTTAAGAAACACATTTCTTTTAGCCCAGCTAAATAATAATTGACTCATTGAATCAGTGGTCATGCCACCGATTTAAGAAATATTCAATGACAAGCTACAGATTATTTGGAAATCGAATCGACACTGAACAATCCGGTGTAATTTACAGTTCGCTCAGTCCCACTCTGTGTACAGTTTACTGCACCACCCAGTAACTGACCGTTGAGGAGTTGTTGTAAGAAATCGCGTTTTAAAGCGTTGTAATTGTCCTATGACGGTTATGATCCGTGACGGTTCGATTAGCCAAGCTGTTACATTTAATCCTGTGAAATAAAGGGTGTGGGTGGTGGGGGATTTTTACCCCTCGAACAAGGCTGCATTTTTTTTGAATAAAAATGGACAATGACGTAGAAAACGCGTGGTTTGTACAATAGTAACATATGTGGAGCGATGCAGCAGCGCGCAGATTTGTCATTGTGTCATTTCTTTGCTGGGATTGAAGTTTGCATGTCTGGCGGTTTCACTCCCGACACCTGGCCGTCCGAAACTCATTCCCAAATCCTCCAGCAACACGCCATCTAGTGCTCATGTCAAATCATGGTCCCAAATAACACATTTACCGCTCGCTCTCACCCAAACACCCTCCAGCTCACCCGCTCTCTATTGTCTAGAAATCTTGTTACAGCTCTGTATTCGTCCTATTCCTTAAGCTGATCTTCTTTGACAAGTTCCATTCGTGTGTCTTTTACTCTCAACTTTCACAGAATCGTCAGCTTCCTTTGGTTGTTATTAGCAACTTCTCCATTTCTCAGGAAAATCTCGTTTCGATTGCTTTTCCCTGTAGTCGCCTTCGCCAAAGTCCCCGTCAACGTGTGGGGTATGAGAAAGTAGGCAGAGACCCCGACATTTGTTGAGGTAGATTAGCAACATTAAAAGAGGCGAGCATTTAGAACATTCACAAACGTGATTCAGGTTCATTGAATTATAAAAAGGCGCACACACCGGATCCCTTTTTATGTAGGTTACAGCGGTATGTGAAGAAGAGAGCTATTGTAGGACAGTGCCTGTATACCATCATTTCACCGCTAAAATGTAGATAGTTCAGCATGAGATATCGGGTCCGACAAGAGCTTTGCGTTATCACACTTGGGAAAAGTAACAAGGTAAGAAAAGCTCAGGCTTGAAAAGACGCATAAGTGTTCTCCCCGCTTTAGCATGGATCGTGAGAATGTTCATACTGTTTCTCAATCTTTAACCGCAACGTGAGTTACTCACCCGGCGCGTCTCGCTGATGGACCCCTCTCAGCAGAACACGCTTGTCCTGCTGCCGAAACAGCAACATAAATGAAAGTATCGTTATCTTCAGTTGACTACCCAACTCTGATGATACAACGGTCAGGAGGCTAAAGCTGCTGAGTAATTCTCTGCATTTGACTTTGCACTTTGTCTCCGGCCAAAACTCAGTTTATTTTCTCTAAAATTGATTTCCCACTCAAATTGATTTGGCATTTTAATTTATATTTTACATTGTCCGGGTAGTAGTGATAGTTACGAAATTTTGACAACGTTAATGGGCCAGTCAGTGCACCTATAATGAATGGTTATCCCATATACGCGCAAGCTGTTTAAACACTTGCTTTAAATAAGTACGTTTTGATGCTTCAGGAAGTACACTATAGGACTCAATCCAAACATTGAGCTTGTTCCCAATTCTAATAAATAGCAACAAGTATCATAGGAAACTTTGTTCTGTCACTACAATTAATTTGATAGAGTCTTCAAAAGAACCTTGAACTAAACTTCTTGATTAGCATATCTGTGTTATCTGTCTTCATAAATTTTACACACAACTTTAGAGAACAGTTTGCTAGACCACAGTTGCGACAACAAAACTTCAATTGAGATATGAAAAGATTCACCTAACACCCTATCACAGCTGTCAAAAAGCTTATTGATTTTCACTTGAATTTCTTTAGCTGTTTGACAGCTGTGTTAGGGTGCTAGATGTTGTCATAACCAGGAAAAGTAAGTAGTTGTTGCAATGTGGGGAAATAAGGAAAGATCCCCATAAACAACACATTGACTAGCGAAATCTTCAAATATTAGCACAGGACCCTTAAACTGTACCTGAGACTGTAAACATTTCAATCGGAGGACCATGTAAATTCATCACTCCTTAATGCCAATACAAGTGTCAATCTAGTTTAAATGCTCATCCTGTGTGCAGCTTGAATCCAACTGAGTTAGAAATAATCATAACAACTTATGAGGCATGCTGATATTCGATATACTCAATCTGACATGATCTACAAATGTCCACTTTATAGAAGCTGACTTTTTATAGCCTGATACATGATCTGATCTGACCTTTTGTAGACCATCTGGTCCAGTAATAAAGGACTGAATAATGGAAACTTAAAAAGAAAAAAAACTGATAGATTAAGTGAATGGGCAAAACCAACGCAAATGGATTCCAGTGCAGGTAACTGTGAGGCAAATAGTTTGAACAGGATACTTTCTAAGTGGTGAAAAGTTAGAGATGGTGGAAATTCAAAAGGAGTTGGGGTTTCAAGTACATAGATCATGACAATATCATGGCAGGAACAGAAAATAATTAAAAAGGCTAAAGGAATACTGGCCCTTACATCTCAAGCACTAGATCAAAAGTGGGTAGAAGTCATGTTTTAGCTATGCAAAGCCATGGTCAAACCATACTGGGAACACTATGAGCATTTCTTAGGAAGCATACACTGCCTTCGAGGGAGTGAAACGTAAGATTAGCAGATTGATACCTGATCTTCAAAGGTTAAATTACAAAATAGATATGTTTTCCTTAGAAATTAGATGGTTAAAATATGATGTGATCAAAGTTTTTATGATATTGGGAAGAGCTGACAGGGTAGATAGAGAGTAATTATTCCTGCTGGTCGCAGAATCTAGGACTAGGTGGCATAGTCTAAAAATTAGGAAACACTTCTACACCGTAATAATTGTTTGAAACATTCTTTCACAAACATTGATCATGGTAGAGTCATAGAACGATACAGCATACTGAAGGAGGCCCATTATGTCCGTATCAACTCTTTGTTTTGACAGTTCATTAAATTACCTTATTTTGCACATGTACACCAGCTAATAATTTTAGTCTCACAAATACGAACCACAAATTTGTTTAGTTCTCATAATATTTATTATACTCAAAACATTATTTCACAAAAAAACACAATGAATTTAGTTTATTTGCCTTGACTCTCATTTAATTAGATTTATGATTTTCAAGATATTTCAATTAAGTTGCTAAAGTACAGGATACAAGAGTTGGGACATCATGTTATGGCAGTACATGACACTGGTAAGGCCATATTTGGAGTACTGCTTACAATTCTGGTCGCCCTGCTACAGGAAGCATGTTATTAAACTGGAAAAGGTGCAAAAAAGGTTTACAAAGATGTTACCAAGGCTGGAGAGTGAGTTATAAAGAGAAGCTGGAAAGGCTGGGACTCTTTCCCCTGGAGTGTAGAAGGCTAAGGATGAGCTTATAGACGTTTATAAAATCACGAGGGGCATACATAAGGTGAATAACAAAAGTCTTTTCCCTAGGGTAGGGGAGTTCGAAACAAGAGGGCATAATTTTAAGGTGAGAGGAGAAAGATTTAAGAGTGACACAAGGGGCAACTTTTTCACACAGTTTGTGTATGGAATGAACTATGAGAGGAAGTGGTCGAGGTGAGTACAATTACAACATTTAAAAGACATTTGGATCAGAAAAATTTAGAGGATTATAGGCCAAATGCTGGCAAATGGGATTAGTTCAGTTTAGGAAATCTGAATGAGTTGGGCCGAAGGGTCCATTACTGTGCT